AGAAAATGTCTGTTTAAAAAATTTATTTTTAGTAAAAATATTTTTTAATTACAAAACTCAGCTATTGACTTGTCTTTACACATTGTAATGACTTGAGTCCTAAGGAAACTTCATCTACAGTGATTTTAAGATCATGCAGGGCTGGGGATGTGGCTCAAGCAGTAGCACGCTCACCTGGCATGCGTGCGGCCCGGTTCGATCCTCAGCACACATACAAAGATGTTGTGTCCACCAAAAACTAAAAATTAAATATTAAAATCCTCTCTCTCTCTCTCTTTCTCTCCCTATAAAAAAAATCATCATGCAGGGGGGACTGGGGTTGTGGCTCAGAGGTAGAGTACTCACCTATCATGTGTGAGGCACTGGGTTCAATCCTCAGCACCACATAAAAATAAAGATATTGTGTCCACCTATAACTAAAAAATAAATATTTTAAAAAAAAGAATCATGCAGGGGACTGGGGTTGTGGCTCAGAGGTAGAGCACTTGCCTATCATGTGCAAGGCCCTGGGTCCTATCCTCAGCACCACATAAAAATAAAATAAAGGTACTGTGTACAACTAAAAAATAAATATTAAAAAAACATTTGGGGTTGTGGCTCAGCTTGCCTAGTGTGTGGGAAGCCCTGAGTTCAATCCTCAAAACCACATAAAAATAAATAAAAGTAAAAAAAAGAAATCATGCAATATAATAGTTGATATTAAAATTTTTTCTTAGAATAATTTCATCTAAATCTGGAAGAAATATATGTAAATACATAATGTTGTGGCAGTTACCTTTTTCTTTTATTTGACTATTTGTCCAGGGAAAATATTTTATTTTATTATTGCTAAAGTGCATGCATAGAAACAAAATAGAGACAAGGATTCTTTGGGATAACTAATCCAAAGTTGAAGTGAGTCAATTTGCCATTGGAACATGTATTTTTATAAAGTGGATCTTTTGATAAAATTCGGCCATGAGCTAAAATAGAATATCATTTTTTCCTCTAAAGTGATGAAGTTTTTAAAAGTACCTAGTGACAGCATAAAAATATAACAAATTTACACGTGTTTTTACTTCAACACAGAACATAACAGAGGCACTTGTCTTGAATTAAATATTAGCTTGAGTTATTGGATTTTTATGTTATAATAAATTTGTGTTCATAATAAAATACAGAACTAGCTAATAGTGCCATTTACCAGTAACTAACTATACAAATAATTAAAAAAACAGGTGTTTCTGAAAATGTAGCCATGTTTATTTATTTATTTTTTAGTTTTAGGTGGATACAGTATCTTTATTTTACATTTATGTGGTGCTGAGGATTGAACCCAATGCCTTGTGTATGCTAGGTGACACTCTACCGCAGAGCCACAACCCCAGCCTGGAAATGTAGCCACGTTTAAAGTTTTACTTGAGTATCTTTATCTTTATACAGAAATTTCAAAGAAAGTCTCAACCTGATTTTTCCCTTGTGATGACTTATGTGCACTATCTCAGATGTATTAACATCTTAGACCATTTGTCATGAAGAATAAACACTAGTATGCTATAATTAACTGAAGTTGTATTTCCTTTGGATTCTCAGTTTTGCCTCTTCCTGTTCCAGGACCCTGTCCAGGACCTCAAATGACATCCAGTCAACATGTCTCTGTAGCCTCCTCTTGGGCTGACAGTTTCTCTGAACTTCCTTGTTCCAGTGACCTCAGTACCATGGGGAGGACCTGTCAGGTATCTTTTAGATTGTTCTACTTTGGGGTTTACTTGTTTTTCCTCACATTTAGACTTAAGCCATGTGTCTGGGGGAAGCAGTCACAGAAGTGGAGAGCTGCTCTGTCATCTCAAGCCCTCAAGGTGAATGCCATATTAGTACTGAGTGTGCTCAGCTGGCTGGGGGAGTGCCTTTCATGTTTCCTTGTTTTTCTCTTGTTTAGCCCGGGGCTGTGAGTCTTAGGGAAGCAGGTCACAGAGGTGGACAGCTACTTTGTCATTTCAGACCCTCAAGGTGAATGCTGTGTTAGTACTTACTGGGTTCACCTGGCTGAGGTAGTGCCTTTCAAGTTTCTCTCTGTGGAGTTAATGTTCTATGCATGTCCATATTGTGTTTTCTGGAGGAAGTCATTATACAGGGCCCACACTTAAGGATCAGGGAGTTAGCTTCACCTCCTTGATGGCTTTGTCTGCCTTAGTTATCTGGTATGCTTCTTCACAAGAGGCACAAGAGAATTGCATATTGTAAATAGTTATCTCAGTCTATAGCTTTTCTTTTTGTTCTTTCACAGAGTATAAAATTTAATTCTTTCACAGAGAATAAAATTTAATTTGAACCCAGGGCCTCACATATACCAGGCAAGTGCTCTACCACTGAGCTATACCCCATCCCTTTAAAAATCTCTCAGGCTGGCCTTAAATTTGTAATCTCTCTGCCTCAGCCTTTTGAGTAGTTGGGATTCTTGGCATGCAACACCACACTTGGTAAAATTTCATAAAGTCCATGCTATCAATATTTTCTTCTGTCAATTTACTTTTAGTATTGTGTGTTAAAACTCATCACCAAGGGCTAGGGATGTAGCTGAGGTTTTATGTAGCTGAGGTTGTCTAACATGTGTGCAGCCCTGCATTTGATCTCCAGTTCCAGAATGAACACACACACACACACACACACACACACACACACTGTTACCACTCTCTAAGATTACATGGATTTTCTTCTGTTTCTGTTTAATTTTTTTTCAAAGTTTAGTTATGAAGATTATGAGTCAATTTTTGTGGAAATTTTGGTTTGCATATACATTCATTTCACTGAATATAGTTTCCAAAAGCTTGTTCAATCACCACTTTTTGACAAATAGTGTTTAATGGGTTTCATTTTTGTTTGAATTTCCAAAATTGGCCTTGAATAATCTGGATACAGTACTGAAGTTCATCTATTTCCCAGGAACGCTAGGAGGAGACACGAATGCACCTCTGAACTGCAGTGTCCTGAATTGAGTCCCAGCCACCACCAGAGGGCGTGTCACCTTCCCAGACTTGGTGGTAACATGCTACTGATATGGCGATGTGATAGTGCTAACATGTTATTTATATGCAGCCTCTAATGCTAATACATTATCCATAGTGACTTTTGATACTAACATGTCCACATGTGGCCTCTGTAGTAATATAGTACCCATAGCTATATTACATTCAGTCCTATCATCTTTAACATTAGCATAATGTCTACACTGTGGCCTCTAATATTAATGTAATATCCATACTATGACCTCTAACAGTAATATAATATTCATATGGTGGCCTTAGATGCTAATATAATATCAGAATCATACTCTCTAACAGTAATGAAATATGTACACTGTGCCCTCATAGTAATATAATGACTGCCCTGTGATTTTCAATATTAATGCAATGTCCAAACTGTGGCCTGTAATACTAATACAATATCTACATTGTGGCCTCTAACATTAATATAATATTAACACTTTTGTTAGTGAAATATCCATATTATAGCATCTAAGACTTATTTAATATCTGCCCAGTGGACTTTAGTGCTAAAAAATCTCTATAGTATAGCATCTAAACCTGATGTAATAGCTGTCCTGTGGTTTTTCATAATAATGTGGTATTTATAATATACAATCTGAAACTAATATAATAGCTGATCTTTGATGTTTAATATTAATATAATATACATGCATGGCCTTAAACTACTATAACAGCTGCCCTGTGGACTTTAATACTAATGTAATATGTACATGCTGAAATCTAATTCCAATATAACACCTGCCCTTTGAAATTTACTACTAATGTAATATCCTTACTATAGCATATAAAGCTAATAAAGTAGCAGCCCTGTAACCTATAACAATTATAATATTTACATCATAGCATGTAAAACTAGTGTAATAATTGCTTTGTAGCCTTTAACATTAATATAATATTAATACTGTGACCTCTCAAACTAATGTAATAGCTGTTCTTTGGCCTGCTAATACTAATATTGTATTCATACTATAGCATCAAAAACTGGCATAATAGCTGCCCTTTGGCCTTTAATAGTAATATAAAACCCATAATGTAGCATGTAAAACTGATATTATAGCTGCCTTGTGGCATTTGATACTAATATAATATTTATACTGAGGCCTCTAAAATTAATATAATAGTTTTCTGTGGACTTCAATGCTAATATGTTATGCACTATGGTACCTAAAATATTATAATAGATGCCTTGTGGTATTTAATAATAATAATATCCATACTATAGCATCTAAAACTAATATAATAGGTATCCAGTTGCTGCAGCTGAATTCAAGGTCACTCATGTGAATTTCCAGGGACACTAAATAAAATACAGACACACACTTTACCTTTAAACAAGCTTCAGGACATCTCCTCCACTCTTGGCCTCAAGCTCCCCAAATGGGAGAGTAAGGAAAAGTCATGAGAGAGAGTGAGCACATTTAGAAGTGGGCTTTTATTGGGGGGACCCTTATTCTTAGAAAGTTCCATCCAGAAAAGTTCAGAAGGGGCAGGGTTACAAAGGACAGGTAAGTGTATAAATATATATATTTAAATATACAAATATATAAATATAAATTTGACCCAAGGGGCTATAGGGTGACACACCTATGTCTGAAAACACATCCTCAAACTTCTGGGACCAGGGAAATATCCAGGTCACTATGAGATGCAGTGATGGTCAAGGCTTCTCTATTCTGGAATGGAAGATATGAATCATTCAGAGTGGTCTCCCATACCCAGTGGTTTTAATACTAAAGATATTTATACTATACCCTCTATAACTAATATAATGACATCCTTGTGGCTTTAAAACTATTATAATATCCATACTAAAGCATTGAAAATAATTATAATAGTTGCTCTGTGGTCTTTATATGAATATTACAGTTATACTATAGCATTCAATACTAATATAATAGCTGCCTTGTGATCTTGTAATATATTATAATCTTAATATGATATACATACTGTTGCATCTAAAAACTAATATAATATCTGAGCTTTAGCCTTTAATACTTATGTAATTTTCATACTCAAGCACATAAAACATATAGTAACTTCCCTGAAACCTTTAATATAACAGCTAATATATTAGCTGTCTTGTGGTCTTTCATATTAATATAATATCCAAAATATATCCAAAACAAATGTAATAGTTGACCTTTGGTCTCTAATGCTAATATAAAATGCACACTATAGCATTTAGTTCTAATATAATAACTGCTTTTTGGTCTTTTACAGTAATGTGATATCTATATCAAAACATCCCAATCTAACATAGTAGCTGTCTGATAGCCTTTAATACTAATGTAACATACATACTGTCTCATCTAATACAATAGATCTCCTGTGTTTTTTATATTAATGTAATATCCACATATAGCATCTTAAACTAATTCATGTACTTTTGCCTCTAATACTAAAATGATGTTTATACTATAGCACCTAATGCTAATATAATAGCTGACCTCTGCTCTTTAATTCAAATGTGCATCTATATGACAGCCTCTAAAACTGATATAATAGCTGCACTGTGGCCTTTAATTTTAATATAAAATACATAATACAGCATCAGACACTGATACTATAGTGACACTATGGCCTTACATACTAAGGTAATATCCATACAGTGGACTCTAAATCTAATATAATAGCTTTCTGTGGCCTTCAATACTAACATGTTATGCTCTCTAGTACTTAAAATATTATAATAGTTGCCCTATGATCTTTAATACTAATGACATTAATAGGATAGCTTTTAAATATAATAAAATAGATGCCCTGTGACCTTTTATATTAACATAATATCCATAATTTAGCATCTAAAACTAATATAATACATGCCCTATGGCCTTTAAAATTTTTTTTTTAGTTGTAGATGACATGATACCTTTATTTATTTATTTGTTTATTTGTTTGTTTATTGATTAATTTAGTGTGGTGCTGATGATCAAATCCAGTGCCTCACATGTGCTAGGCAAGCACTCTACCACCAAGCCACAACCCCAGCCTGCCCTGTGGCCTTTTAAAAATATTTTTTAAAGTTATAGATGAACACATACTTTTATTTTTTAAATTTATTTTTATGTGATACTGAGGATCAAATCCATTGCATTATGCATGCCAGGCAAGTGCTCTACCACTGAGTCACAACCCCAGCCCCTGCCCTGTATCCTTTAATATTAATATGATATAAAAATTATGGTCCCTGAAATTATTTTAAAAGCTGTCCTGTGGCCTTCCAATACAGATATTATATCCATCCTATAGCTTCCCTCTGCCCTTTAATATTAATATAATTACCTTGTGATAACATGTAAAACTAATATAATAGTTTCCCTATAGCTTCACTATTTTTAAAAAATATTCTTTGATTGACCTTTATTTATTTATATGTGGTGCTGAGACTTGAACCCAGTGCCTCATGCATGCCAGGCAAGTGCACTACTGCTGAGCCATAACCCTAGCCCAGACTTCACTATTAATATATCATCTATATTATGACCTCTAAATCTAATACAATAGCTGTCCTGTGATCTTTGTTATTGATATGATCTCCATAATATGGCATGGAAAACTGATAAAATAGCTGCTCTGTGGCATTTACTATTAATACAATTTTCATATTATAGCATCAAAGACAGATATCAGAGCTATTAGAGGCCTTTAATACTAATATGCTATCCAAACTATACTACCTAAAATGAATATAGTAGCTGGGCTGTGGCCTTTAAATCTAATGTGATATCCATACTATGGCATCTAAAACTAATATAATAGCTCCCCTGTAGCTTTTAAAACTAATATGATATCCATATTATGGCCTCTAAAACCAATGTAATAGATATCCTGTGACCTTTAATATGAATGTGACACATTTTCTACAACCTGTGAAAGCATTATAATAACTCTCTGGCGGATTTTAATATTTAATATACCTGATATAGAATCTAAAACTGATAAACAGGTACTCTGTGGCCTTTAACATTAGCATGCTAGCTGGGGTTGTGGCTCAGTGGTAGCATGCTTGTCTAGCATGTGTGAGGCACTGGGTTTGATTCTCATATAAACAAAAATAAATGAATAAAGGTCCACATATAAACAAATAAATGAATAAAGGTGCATCAATAACTAATAAAAAATTTAAAAAATATTAGCATGATATTTTTATTATAGTACATTAAGCTAGTATAATATCTGCTTTGTAGCCATTAAACTAATGATATTTATGCTATGCTATTGAAATTAATATATCAACTGTCATGTTGACTTTAATACTAACATGTTATGCATATTTGAACATCTAAAAGTGACATAATTCTTAACCTGGGCCTTTAATACTAATATGATATCCATGCTAGCACATCTAAAACTGATATAATGGCTGCTCTGAGGTCTTAAAAACTAACAAAATATCCATCCTATAGTATCCAAAGCTAATATAAGAGCTGCCCTGTGGCCTTTAAGAATATAATATATATAATACTGTGAACGTCTAGTGCGTTCGGGTCCCTGGGTAAGGGTCGCGAAGAAATCAGGACACAGGGGATGCAGAGCAAAGGCAGCAAATGCAACTGCATGCTGACGTTTATTTCTAAGCTCCTTTTATACACTTCTTAACATAAGGCAAACAATTCTTTAGTTACACTTTGCCCACATTGCCCTAATAACATGCTTCAGCAAATACACAAAGCTAAACTCTGATCATTCCTGTTTATTTGCACAGTAAAGCCAAGAGTTCCTTTATAGAGTTTATCTAATCCCCTAAAGCTACATGTGTTTCTTTACTATGTACTGTTCCCAGGCTAAGTATGCCAAGAGCCTCTCCCTGTTGGCCCAGGTATGCAAAGCTTGTGACTTAAGATAAGGGGAAGAGAACATTTTCTCCTCCTAGCTTGGCTTGCCTTCAGCTGACCTTTGTCTCAGCCACTGCTTTTGCACAACCTTGAGCTTTAGGGGGCTTCAACAAGCATACTGAACCTTAACATAATACTAATATGATATTTATATTATGTCATCTTAAGCTGATAAAATAGCTGCCCTGTGACCTTTAATATTAGTATAACATCATACTGTGGTATCTGAATTAATATAATAGCTGTACTGTAGTCTTAACACTAAATAATATACATACTACATCACCTAAAATATTTGCCATGATGCCTTTAATACTAATATGATATCATACTAGTAGAACATCTAAAACTGTTTAGTGCAGCATCTAAAACTGATATAATAGCTGCCCTGTAGCCTTGATACAATATATACACTCTATCATCTAAAATGGATATAATATCTCCCCTGTGGTCTTAATACTAATATAATTGTTGTCCTGCAGCCATTAATACTAATTTGATGACTTGTTTTGGTATCTAAAACTGATAAGATAGCTGCCCTTTGGCCATTAATATTTATAAATTCTCCATAATATAGCATCTGAATCTGATATAATAGCTGCCAATACTATTATGATATCCATAAAACTATATAAATATATTTTAGTATCTAAAACTAGTAACTAAACTTTAGCCTTTAATACTAATGTAGTATGTTTACTGTAGCATTTTGCAGTACTGTAAAAATGTCTCTGTGGCATTTAGTATTAATATATGCATACTGTGGCTGTATAATAGGATTGTATAGCTCTCCTCTAGCCTTTCATATTAGTATAATATCCATACTACAGCATCTACATTAATATAATAGCTGCTATGAGGCTTTAATATTGATGTAATATTCATACTATAGCAAGTATAACTAATATAATAACTGCCCTGAGGTTTAAATACTATTACATTACTCATACACAGCATTTAAAATTAATATAATAACTTCCCTGTGACCTCTAATGTTAATAAAATATCCAAACTATATCCAATGAAAGGCAAGTGACTCACTCAAGATGGAAATTCAACCAAGAGATTTTATTGGGGAGCTGCCTGAAGGGGAAGAAAAGGAGAGGAAGAGAGCAGAAAAGGAGAGGAAGAGAGCAGAAAGGGAGAGGAAGAATACAGAAAAGGAGAGGAAGAAAGCAGCAGGGTGAGTCTACAAGCTTCAGCTTAAGAAGGGCTGCTTTGGTGACATGGTGGGTGCTGAATGGCATGGTGACTCAGGAATGGGTGGTGATTGGCACAAAACTGATATAATAGATGCCCTGTAGTCTTTTATACCAAATTAATATCCATGCTATAGCATCTCAAGCTAATATAATATCTGCCCTGTAGCCACTAATGTAATACCCATATGATTGCATCTAAAACTGATATAATAGAAGTAGTTGGACACAATACCTTTATTTTGTTTATTTATTTTTTTATGTGGTGCTGAAGATTGAACTCAGGGCCTCACACATGCTAGACAAGCGCTCTACTGCTGAGCTACAATCCCAGCCCCTGCCCTGTATCTTTTAATACCAATATGACATCCTTATTATAGCATCTTAAATTAATATAATAGCTACTCTATGGCCTTGATTATGATATCCATATAATATGATATCAATAATACAGCATTTAAAATGGATATAAAATCAGCCCTATGACCTTTAACCTTAAATTTAATAAAATCTCTATACTATGTCTTCTAAAAGTAATATAATAGCTGCCCTGTGAATTTTGATACTATTATGATATCCATACTATAGCATCTAAAGTTAATATAATTTAACTAAATGCCTATAGCTCTGGCATTTAATAGTAATATGATATCCGAACTATAGTACCTAAAATGACTATAATAGCTTAATACTAATAGGATATACATAGTATAGTATATAGAACTAATATAATAACTGAAATTTTGGATTTAATACATTGCTTTTGGTACTAGAAATTAAAACTAGGGGCATTTAACTCTATCCCCTGCCCTTTTTGGATTTTTTAAAAATTTATTTTGATATAGGGTCTTGATAAATTACTTGGGGACTCACTAAGTGGCTGAGGCTGGTCTTGAACTTGTAATCCTCCTGCCTTAGCTTCCTAACTCACTGGAATTATAGGCATGTGCCACTGCCTGGCTGGGCTTTAATACTAATACAGTGTGTATACTACATCATCTTTTTAAAAATATGTATTTTTTAGTTGTAATTGGGCACAATGGCTTTATTTTATTTATTTTTATGTGGTACTGAGGATCAAACCCAGTGCCTTGCCCATGCTAGATGAGTGCTCTACCACTGAGCCCCAGCCCCAGCCCCACTACATCATCTTAAAGTACTGTAGGAGCTGCCTGTGACACTATTGTTAATATTATAACCATACTGTGGCCTCTTTAGGTAATATTATAGCTCTCCTGTGGCCTTTCATATTAATACAATATCCACATATAGCATCTAATGCTAATATACTAGCTGCCCTATGGTCTTTAGTAATATCAACACTGTGCCCCCTAAAATTTAAATGATAGTTGCCCTGTGGCCTTTTAATACTATATGAAATCCATACTATAGCATCTAAAATGAATAAAATACTTGCTCTGTGACCTTCAATTCTTTTATGATATCCATACTACAGCATTTAAAACTAATAAAATAGAAGCCCTGTGGCCTATAGTTTTAATGTAGTATCCATACTTTATCATTGTAAATAATATAACAGTTGTCCTGTTGTTTTATTTTATTTATTTATTTTTATGCAGTGCTGAGGGTTGAACCCAGGGCCCTACACTTGCTAGGAAAGTGCTCTATCACTGAGCCACAACCTCAGCCCATGCCCTGTTGTCTTTAATACTAACGTCATATCCATAGTATCTAAAACATATTACTTAGCTTCCCTGTGACCCTTAATATTAATATAATATCTATAGTATAACATCTGAAAGAAATATAATACATGCCCTGTGGCTTTTAATATTGATATAATATCCATCCTATTGCATCTTAAGCTAATATAATAACTGCCTGTGGTTTTAATATTATTATGATATACAGAACAGCATGTAAAATTAATATACTAGCTTCCCTTCGGCCTTTAATGTTAATATAATATCCATGCTCTATCTTCCAAAACTATTAAAATAGCTGCATTTTAGCCTTTTATAATAAAATTATTCCATTAATTAATAAAATAAAATAATGGCATTTCAAGTCAATATAATAACTGCCCCATAGCTTTTAATACTAATGCAATATCCATACTGTTACATCTAAAAGTGCTATAATTCCTGCTCCATGGCCTTCAATACTGATATGATATCCATACTAGAGCATCAAAAACTGATAAAGTGGCTGCTCTGTGTCCTTTAAGACTAATATAGCATTTAAAATTGATATGACAGCTGCTCTGTGGCCTCTGATGTTAAAATGATATCTATGATATAGCATCTAAAACTGACATAGGGCCAGGCGCAGTGACACATGCCTGTAATCCCAGTGGCTCAGGAGGCTGAGACAGGAGGATCATAATTTCAAAGCCAGCTTCATTCAGCAAAAGTGATGTGCTAAGCAACTCAGTGAGACTCTGTCTCTAAATAAAATATAAAATAGGGCTGGGATGTGACTCAGTGGTCATGTTCCCCTGAGTTCAATCCCTGGTACCAAAAAAATAAAAAATAAAAATAAAAATAAAACTGATATAGTATCTGCCCTGTGGCCTTCATAGCTTATATGATATCTATATTGCAGCATCTAGAAGTAATATAATAGCTGCCCTGTTGTGTTTAATACTATTATTATGTCCATCCTATAGTGATATACCTGTTCATAATACTATTATTATGTCCATCCTATGATATACCTGTTCTGAGGCCTTTTGTATCATATGTTAAATTAAACATAATATTGCATTGAAAACTGATATAATAGCTGTTCTGTGGCTTTTGGTTCTAATGTGATATCAATATATAGCATCTAAAACTTGCATAAGAGCTGTCCTGTGGCCTTTAGTACTAATATAGTATTCATACCATAGCACCTGAAAATAATAAAATAACTACATGATGGTGTTTAATGCTAGTATGATATTCATAGTGTAGAATATATCATTAATACAATAACTGTCCAGTAACCTTTAATACCATTATGATACCCAACTATATTTTCTAAAACTGATATAAAAGCTGCTAATGGCTTCCCAGTCACTTTTTTTTTACTGAGCTACATCCCCAGCCCCCCAACCCCCACCATTTAAAAAATTTTTTAGTTGTATATGGACTAATATAATAACTGAAGTTTTGGATTTAATACAATATTTTTATTTGTTTTTATGTGATGCTAGGATCAAACCCAGTGCCTCACACTTGCAAGGCAAGTGCTCTGCCACAGAGCAACCCCTGTGAACTGTGAACTTTAGTGTTCATATGATGTGGATCCTACTGCAACTCAAATTAATTAAAACTGACTTGTTTCCTTTATTATTAACATATTATCCAAACTGTGGCCTGAAAAACTAATATAATAATTTTCTGTGGCCTTTAACATTAATATGATATTAATAGTGTGGCTCCCAGAACCAATGTAATTGTTTCAATGTTGCATTCATGCTAATATGATGCCCATAAGATAGCATCTACAACTAATGCAATAGCTGTGCTGAGGCCTTGACATGAATGTGATATCAATACCATGGCATCTAAAATGAATATAATACTTGGCCTGAGGCAAGTAATACTAATACAAGAGCTGATTTTTTTGTAAAGAGAGAGAGAGAGAGAGAGAGAGAGAGAGAGAGAATTTTTTTAATATTTATTTTTTAGTTTTTGGTGGACACAACATCTTTATTTTATTTTTATGTGGTGCTGAGAATCGAATCCAGAGCCCCACGCATGCCAGGTGAGCATATTACCTCTTGAGCCACATCCCCAGCCCATAATAGCTGATTTTTGCATTCAATTATATTCATGCTGTGAGTTCTAAAGCAAATATAATCTGTCCTGTGGCCTTAAATATGAATATAATATCCATTCAATAGTATCTAAAACTAATAAATAACTGCCTTGTGGACTTTAATAATAATATAACGTTCATAAATTAATATTTAGAACTATTGCAACATATCAATTTGATATAAAAGCTATGCTGTGGCCTTTAATACTAATATAACATTCCTACTATACTATCAAAAACTGATAAAATATGTGTTCTGTAACCTATACTTATTCCCATAATATACCATGTAAAACTAATATCTGCCTTGTGGATATTATGTTAATATACATACTATAGTATCTAAAATTAATATTATAATTATAAGATAGCCACACTATAATACTTTAACAGTAAAATGATATCCATATTATAGTATCCAAATCAATATAATACCTGCCCATGGCTTTTAAGATTGATGTAATATCCATACTATAGTATCTTATATTAATATATTAGCTGCCCTGTGGCATTTTATACATATATGATATCTAAATATAGCATCTAAAACTAATATAATAGGTCCTTTTTTTGGTTTTCTAACTATGATAATATTCATACTATTGCATCTAAAATTTATGTAATACCTGCCCTGTGGCCTTTAATATTAATATAATTTCTGTAGTGTGGTATCCAACAGTAATATAAGAACTGCACTACAGGCTTTCTTACTAATATATATTTCCATTGTATAACATCTAAACTAACATAGGAGCTGCCCAGTGGCCTTTGAATTAAGTTAATATTTTTTTTTCAGGATTGACTGTCTTTATTTGGTGGTGATAAAAATAACTTCAGATTAGTTGTTAAATGTACAGTTAACAATGA